CTTGTGGGTGGCACTCTGTGGATACACACACTGAAAAAATATTACACCTGTGATTTCATGAGATTGGCTAGCAGTGGAATGCAAGAATCTTTCATTAAAAATGTGAAAAGCAGCTTGGCTTTGTTGTGATTAGAAAGTGGCTCATATTTGTAAGAATTTCTAAAGGTAATGAATATTCCTGATCATGCTTATTCAGTTGGCTTCCTGTCTTGTTCCATGAAAAGGCCAAACAATTTCTGAACGGATTGAACAAAATAATACTTCTTTAATACTCCTTTCTTCCTAATTCCACACTTTTACTACCCATGTCAGTTACTGAATGCTTTGTTAAGCTCCTTTCATGACTACTCATTTTCTCTTTTGTCTGCACTCATTCCACTTTATACCTGGCACACAACTTTAATGTACATTATACTCTTCATTGGTTGAGGAAGTAACTGAAAACTCACAAAAAGTGATCACTTGCTGTTCTCTGGGCAGCACATTAGTCCTTGTTTGCTCCCTGCTGCACACCCTGTGAAATGCTGGGGGGTGAGGATTAGGTTTGGTATATGGTAAAGTAAGTGTAGTTTCCAAAGCAGGATGTGGAAAACGCCATGCTCAGAATAGGTGGGAGAAGACGTACTTGGCTGAAAAGGACTGGGAGATTTTTCAAACTGAGAGTTAAAAAGGGATCTTCGTTGTTTCTGCCCCTCCCATCTGCTGTTCTCTGCAGCTGAAAATGGGGCAGAAAGCCAACATTGTGACATTTGAGCAGACAGCACTTTATGGAAGTGTCTATTTCCATTCCCCACCCATGGTAGAAAGGAGCCTTCTCCCCAGCCAGGACGAGCAGAGGTGCTGCCAGAGGTACAGCTGATGTGAGGCTTCTTTCCTTGAGACTGGGGTTTGTAGGCAGACTCTTACATTTCTCTGTGTAGGTTTTAAATAAGATTCCCCTTCCTCTGCTTGCTTACTCCTCTCCCCCTCCAGAAGGGATCAGAGGATTTCTGAAACACACTGTGGAGTTTTCTCAGCCTTCACGTGCCATCCTTTGCCAGTGGGCTGGGCTGCAGCAGCAGAGAACTGCAGAAGCACCGTGACTGAGAAGAGCTCTGCCTTTGCCTCACCGAGTCATCTCAGACAGCAGTGAAATACCCTCTGAATTCCAGCAGTGAATACCCTGTGAATTATATCAGTGAAATACCCTGCAAATTATGTCAGTGAAATACCCTGCAAATTCCAGCAAGCACGTGAAACCCACACTGATCCCAGTGTCCAACTGATCTTAGATGGGAGCGCTACAGATCAAATGTCTTTTTCAGCCCCTTTGATTTTCTTTTACAATGAGTACTTTCAGTGGTTCCACGAGTATCCTTTATCATTTTATCTAAAGAAATACTAATATATGCAGAAATACATGCATATATATAGGCTGCACGTAAAGCATCTATCCATGTATCCCCACTCCCCTTTCTTCTATTTAAATAGTGTTCAGTGATTGTTCAGTTCTCCTAAAAGGATGAGTCACTGCAGCTGCACAATGATCCAGCTGTGTAGCTTGATAAATTATTTTACTGGACCTGAAAAAGTAAATACACTGACATCCACTGTCATTATTTTCATTTGTGCTTACATCATTTTTCCTCAATTTTTAATTTGAATTAAATATTAGAAAATTAGCATGAGGCTATAAAAGGAACTGCTGGATTGGCAGCCCTAGAAATTGAGGTTCCCTGTTTCTTGGTAGCACAGAGACACTCATAAAACACAGCAAGGACATTCTTCTCTACCTGCCCCATTAATCAGTGATCCTGGAGCAGAGCTGGTGGTGAGCAGCCAGTGCAGTGCCTCACACATTCCTTCCAGGAATTCTAGAGACATGGAAACAACATGAACTGTACTTCCACCTCAGATGCTTTCCATGTGGAGCATCACCTCGTGTGCAGGGAGATCACCACTGCCTGGTGCTGTGAAAGGCCACTCCACATCAGCTGTGGGTGACAGAAGAGCAGTGGGAGAGAAGAGGATCTGTCCCACCCCAGCTGTGCCCTGAGAAAGCAGAGGGGTCTGCAAGGAAGGAGTGAAAGTCAGACTCCACTGAGAGTAAAACCAGGAGATTGAAGATAAAGCAGGAAAACCTTTGCTGTCATATTTAGGAATTAACTGAGGAAGGGATGTCTGAAGGAGGATATGTTTTCTGTCATGTACATAGAATATAAAGATAATATGTGTAATCCTGCTTAACAGAGCCATTAAATCAGTAAATTAAGTGAACTTTTAAGCATCATGCTCTCCACAAGGTTTGAATAAAATGAAGTGAGATTGCTCACTTATTAATAAGGGTTTAAGGCCATTTCATTCCTAGACCTGGAAAGAGAGATGCAAAGTGAGGGAGAAGAGATGTAGATTAGCACATCTCCCCTGAAGAGCTGCAGACTGCAGTGGCAGAAGAGCTGTCAGACATTAACAAAGAAAGAGGATAAAGCAAAGGCAGTGGTGCAACTGTGGGGAGAACAGTGACACAAACAACCCTGAAGGAAACCAGCCTTGCCACTGCAGAGGAAGTGGACTGTCCCTTCGATAAATTTATTCTGAAGTCTGAATGAGCAATTTATTTTTTCTTTTGTTTTCCTGCAGTCAGCCAAAGGGGTTGTGTGATTCAATCTCGCCAGTGCAGGGGATTCCCTCTGGATCTGTGTCTCTTAGCTATGGGTTGGGTTTTTTTTCCTTTGACTTGTCTCCTGAGCAAACATGACACCTCCAGTGTTTTGGGAAGCAATGAGATAATGGGCTAATGAAATGTGGGGGCTTTCTGGTACAGGCAAAGTACCAGGCTGACAGTGAACCCTACATTTCTCTGGAACCAAGAAAAGACATGCAGAGACTCTGGTTGTATTTTTAGTCATTTTGATTATACATGTCCCTGTCCATCTTTGTGCCTTTCAGCCTCAGCCCTGCTGAGACTGGGAAGTTTTTTAGAAAATGTCTCATTGCTTCCTCATACTCCCTCACTGATCTAACACATTGTTTCACAGATTTCCATCCAAAGGTGTTTAGGGCACTGCTGGAGCTGTCCTGGCTGAGGTTTGCAGTTCCAGCTGAATCAGCACAGTCTCCAAACAGGCTCCCCTCCTCTGCCTTCCCTTCGGAGGTGTTTCAGACTCACTGGGCAGGAATCCAAGCACCACAGGCCTGCAGTAGCATTTAATCTATCAGAAACCAAAGTTGCTGTGTTGGCTGTAGTAGCTCATAATTCAAAGGGAACATGTAAGAGAAACTGATCTGGATATTGATTTTAAAAACTAATCTGGCACTGTGTCCCAAGATTTCTCTTTCACTGCAGAACAAATTGATGCCTTATATAAATTCCAAAATAATACAAAGCATATTGCAGAACTGGCATAAGAGTGGCTCCATTAGGGGTAGCTCTGATTTTGGAGAGTGGGGTTTGGCATGTGAAACCAGTGATCAGAAGCTGAACTGGATAAAAGCTGGCAAAACACTGCCAGCAGGAGAACTGGGGATTTCTATTTCATTAGGAATTTGTAACTTCATCTAATAAATGACTAAACTGACTCACTGTGGGTGAGATGAGCTTTATAAGAAGAGGCAGTTGCTGTAATTTGTGCTGGTTGGTCCAAGGCAGGATATTGCTGTTTGCCTTGGACCACCACAGCCACATCAGTGCCACCCCTGTGGGTGAGTTCCCCTTGGAGAACCCTGTCCTGTGGGCTTCATTTTCACTGCCTGCAACTGAAGAATCTTCCCTGTCTCCCAAATGAGTCATAAGGATAAATTTTGTAATTTTAAATGTTTCATTAGCACTGGAAGGACAAAACCTGATAATTGAATAATATGTAACTACCCAAATATCATCTGAACTTTTCTAGGGCTTTCCTTGCTGTTATTTTCCAGAGTTGTTTGAAAACAGAAGTGAAATGGTGTGCTCATTCTGGGATGGTATCTTGTCAGTAACCACTCCTCAGGGTTCTGAATATTGTATTAGGAAGAATGTAAGGGAACAAGCATGTTTTAAGGGAGGTCCTTGCACCAGTTTCTCCCCTTTATACAAATTTAAGTTACTTATGTGGCGATACAGTGACTCTGAGACACGTGTATTTTCCTCAAATATGGTCCAACAAAATCAAACCCATTCCTTGTTGATTTTTGCTGTGTGATCACTCATTAAATGCAAAGTAAACACATTGCTGAATGGCAGCTGTCCTTTGGATAAATGGAAGACAGATGTATTGCAGCACAGGGAAGCACTACACAGACTTTGCAACCAGGACAGAGCTATTAAAATCATAGGCTTGAGTCAGTCAGGGGATGTGCATGTTTTTTAAGGCTGATTTAGGGTAAGCAATGAGCTGTTTCATTACAGTATGTACTGTATGTTCCAGCACGTGCTGTCACTAACACTGAGCCATGTATCAGTAACACACTAATAGCTCAAAGACTGCTTTACTCACAGACGTTTTGCTACTCATGGAAAATATTTTGCTAAAATTTGACAGTTTGTGTTGCTGAGGGTGTGGCAGAGCCGTGCTGAGGAGATGGAAGGTAAGGTACAAGTGTGCCATGGTTGGTGCTGGGGGCTGAGCAGGGCTGTGCTGAGGCTCTGCTTCTGCACAGGTGTCCCTGTGCCACCAGGGTCAGGGGAGCAGGGGACACTCAGAGGTGTAGTCACCCTGAGTATCCCCATGCCCCGTGTCCCAGATCCCTTCCCTCACGGCTGTCACCCTCAGTGTCCCCCTGCCCCGTGTCCCGTCCCTCACGGTTGTCACCCTCAGTGTCCCCATGTCCCGTGTCCCGTCCCTCACGGTTGTCACCCTCAGTGTCCCCATGTCTCGTCCCTCACGGCTGTCCCCCTCAGCGTCCCCCTGCCCCGTGTCCCGTCCCTCACGGTTGTCACACGCGGGGTGACAGAAGCTCCGCCCTCAGGGGCGTGGCGCTGTGCGCGCTCTGACGTCACGCAGCGCTGCCATGGCAACGGCCCGTCACGTTGTCCGGTCCATGCGGGCGGGGCGGAGCCGCTCCCGCCCCAGCAGCGCCATGGCGGCGGCTCGGTGACACCGCTCTCCGCGGCCGGCCGGACACCGCAGGTACCTCCGCCCGGGGGATGTCCCCGCGGCCGGGCTCTGCCGCCGGGCGGCTCTGCCCGTCCCCCGCGGCTCCGCGCGGCTGCTCCAGGGCGGTGCCCGGTCCCCCCGCGGCTCCGCTCGCCGCGCCGGGGCCAGGGAGCCTCGGCCGGGCGGGGCCGCGTGGGGCCGCGGGCCGAGCTTCCCGGCGCGGCGGCAGCGCCGGCCGCTCCCGCGGGACTGCGGGCGGGCGGGAGGCTCCAGTGCGCTTCCCACCTGTGCCGCGGAGCCCGGGGACGGGCTCGGCCCCAGCGGGGCGGGCTCGGGCTCGCCGGTCCTGGGGAGGGTCCCGGAGCCGCGTCCGGCGCTGCCCCCGCGGGGCCGCCCGGGAGCGCCGCGCCCGCCCCGCCCCTTGGGCGGCCCCATCCTTGGCGCCGGGGGGGGGCATGGGCGGCACCACCGCAGCGCCGAGGGGGCGGGCGGGAGGCAAGCAAGGCAGGCAGGGCTCGGGCGGCGCCGCCGGCAGCGGTCCCAGCGCCGTGAGACCCCGGCAGGTGAAGCTCCGGGCGGGGGGAGCCCCGCGGGAGAGGGGCCGGGGCGGGCGCGTGGCGAGGGCGCGGTCGCGGGGTCCGCCGAGAGCGGCGGGACGGGCGGGCGGCATCACCCGGTGCCGTCCCGCCCGCCCCGGAGCGCGGGCACAGCGCCCGGCTCCGCGGGGAAGGGAGGGGCCGGGGCAGGGCCGCGGAGCGTCCCCCGAGGGGGTGCCGGGACGGGGGTGCGGAGGGAAGGAGAGGCTCGGTACCCCGGGCTGGAGGTGAGGAGCGGGCGGGGCGGGCAGCGACCCCCGGTGCCGCCGGGCCCGCTCGGTGACACAGCGGGGCGGTGACGGTAACACACCGGGCTGAGGGCGCCGCGGTCCCTCCGGCCGGGGAGGAGAGCTGCGGGTCGGGGGCAGCCCGGGTGGGCAGGGCCGGCCGGGGCACGGCGCTCCCGGCAGCACCGGCTGGGCCGGCCCCGGGTCCCGTGTGGGTGCGGGCAGCGCCCCGGGCCGGGGGAGCTCCGCTCTCGGTCTGTGCCTGGCCAGAGCAGCGCAGCTCGGTTCGCGCTCAGCGTGCCGTAAATCGGCTGTGGCTGTGATTTGCATGCCTTGCGTGACTGCTGTGGCAAAGGTGAGTCGGAAGGTGCTCCCCGTCTTTAGGAAAAGTGCAAAGTCATTAGGTGCTTTTTTTTGTCATACTTCGTAGGTATTGCTCATTTCCCCATCCAGATTAATTTTGAATCTGCTTTTTTAATTTTGCACTTGTTGCTGCGACTATAATCTTTGATAATTTTTTGTTTGATTTCTGTTGGAAATTTTGAAAAGCATCCAAATTGCTACCAGATATAAATGTGGTAGACTAGTTTATGCTGTAATATTATCTGAACTAGGGCAAAATAAGCCTCGGATCTGTTCCCTCCTGTTAATTATACAGTTGAGGATGTTGTCTTTTATTAGGCTGCTTATTGTAGCTTGGAAAGTACATGATTTTCCAGGATGGTTTTCAGTTCTGAAATAGAAGCAGGATAAGTCTCAAAGCTAAGTATGAGCTGAGGAAAAAAGTGCTTAATTTAATTTGGTATAATCAGTTTCTGAAGCAACACAGTGGATGCTCCTCTGCTGGGTGGAGAGTACTGGGGAAGGAAGGGGAAAGAATGGCAAAATGGTGCAGGGAGAGGAAACAGGTACCAGCCTGTAAAACCCGGGGAGAGATGAAAACTGTTGTGTAGGAATAGCAGGGACATGAGTCTGCAAAGTCATGGGAGTGCTCAGAGGAAAACCTGGAGCTGCTTCCTGACTTGTGTTAGAAATATGGGAAGTGATGTCAAAGATGGTCACTAACCTGGCAGTGGAGTGTCAGCTGCAGGAGATGCAGGGGCTGGGCAGAGCTGGGGGAAGTCTGGAGCTGTGCTAACGGGAATAATAACTATATCAACAAATTAAGATGAAACAAACCACATGACAAGCACACACAGTCCTGAAAGTCTCTTAATGGGATGGGAATCTTCAGTGGGTTTTTTGCACTGTTTGTTTGTGATTTCTAAGCATGATAGCTGTGGTGAAGTTAATTTGTGCTTCCAAAGAACAGACTGATGTTATCTTGTAAGAAGGGGGCTAGGGAAATGAGGGAGATGGTAAGAGTATGCAAATGTCTCGCTGTGTGTCTGCTCTGGCAAACTATATTTTGAATTATTATTTCTCTAAAATAATCCGTTTTCAGAGTGGATAATGTAGATGAGTTGTACAGATTTAATAGGCTGAGAACTAAGGCTGCTATAATAGCATATAGTATACACCTTTCAGCTGTTAATCATGAAAAAAATTGAGTTTCAGGTTACAGATGTGTCTTTTTCTCTCTTCTGTATTGTTAAAGTACTACAGCAAATAGCTCCTGCTCTATCTACTTCAGCCCTTTCCTGAGTGCTTGGAAAGTTGGTCTTGATTAACTGCTAGGGTCATTTCAATCTTAAATAAAAAATTGTTGGCTGCAAATGTCGTGTTATAATTATGTTAGATAATGAAAGTTTCAATGTATTTTCATGTTGCTTAGTTGAGGATTGATGCATCTCGTGTTCTGTTTGTCTAAGTATTTTAATTTTCAGGTTTCTAAAGAAAAATGTAGGACTCAAAAACCTAACTAGAAAACCTTGAAAAAATATTTTTTGAATACAGAACTGTATAGTTATCTCCTGGACCATTAAGAAAAATGGCACAAAATTTATGAATGTAATATTTTGAAGGTGAATAACAAATAGAAGTAAAAAATCCTGATAGTATCTAGAGAAGTGATCTTCTTGAGTTACTCTTCTTTTCTGCCAGAATCTTTCATTTATGACGATTGTGTTACTGAAGACAGTAATTTATATTTTTTTATATCTCAGAAGTGACTTTGAAATATCTTATCAAGCTAGTAAAAAAATTCAGAATCTCTGAGCTTGACGTGCAGTGAAGGTAAATACTTTGGGCCAGAGATAATGCAGTGATTGTGTTTTGTACTTAGCACTGTCTGGAAATATCAATGCTCAGATTAATGCAGCTCCCCAGTGCCTGGAACCGGCTGTTTAGAAAGTATGCATAATATTGCTAATCAAGAAAACATTTTCTAAGTTCCACCAAATTTTTTCTCTCTTCTAATTGGATGCAAACCTGTCACTTACTTCATCTTCGGAAGTGTGTAATTAAATTTAGTTGTTATTGTTTTGTTCTTGTATGCAACTTCTGTGTTTTGCAACCCAGAGTTTTGTAATAGAATTTACATGAAAGATCTGAAACAGAAGTACAGCAAATGCTCCTGAAAAACACAGAATGTGTGCTGTTCTCTGGAGGCTGTGCTTTGGTGCAGAGGGGTTCATGGAGCTTTCTGGAGAACAGGAGCAGGGTGCCCTGAGCTGCAGCTTTAATTGAAGGATGGCACTGCTCAGGTGTGGGGTCATGTCTTCAGTGTGTGAGCAGTAGAGCTGCTTTGCAGAGAGCCTCAACCAGGAGAGCAGGAGGGGAGCTGGGGATGCTTTGAGTGAGGGTCAGTGCCACCAGTGGCACTGGCTGTGCAGATAAATCACTGTTACTGAGGGGCAGTGCCAGAGAGCTGGGCTGAGGGTTAATCAGAGCCACAATTAACACAACTGCAGATGGACACTGGCTGGCAAATACTGATGCAGTTCATTGGAGATGGTTTCATTTCCTTTAAGGTGTCTGGGCTTCCAAAAGTTTCCAAATGCTGACACACACTAAGCCAGGTTTTAATTCAATTACTGCAACTCTTGCAATCTCTTGCCTTCCAAAAGGGCTTAAACTGGAAAGATGGCAGTGCCTGATTGTATTGTAGAGCAAAAGGCACTCTCAAGTGCCACCTATTACATAAAATTAGTTCTTTATGGCAAAACAGGTTTGACAATTTGCAGGAGCTGTTTACCCCCTCCTTCTTACTTTAGATCTCAGACAAATATTAATCATATGGATTTTCAGTGTAAGCCAAATGTTTGAGTCATTGTGAATCCCAGTGTTTTGAAACATTAAAAGAGCTGAGTAATGTTAACATTGAAATTATTGTATAAGGTTTTAATTTTCAAATGGGGTGGGGAGGAGAACAAAATGAAATCATAAAATCAATCCCAGGATTGAATGTGCTTCTTAAATGAGATTGGTCTTGGAGCTGCTTTCAGTGAGTGTCTTGGCAGCTTTACAAGGACAAATCACCTCATTGCAATCAGCACTGGGAACTCTTGGACCTGCCTGGTTTGTTTTCATCATGCAGGCATTAATTCAGGTGGTCAGCATCTAGTCTAGCACAGAGCATCCAAGCAGTTTCAGGATAACCTGATGATTTAATTCTTGTTGGATTATTTTTTGTATATGGTTTTCCTGATATATATATAGTAATTATTTCTAACATAAATTGCACTTATGTAATTTTTGTTTATATATTGAAATCCAATTTGTGTGCTATTTGTGTGCTATTTGTGTGCATTTGAAGTCTTGCATTAAAATTAAAGATGATCTTCATGATCTGTTGTTGAAACATGATATTTAAAATTGGTCTGTTTAAAATAAATATTTGATCTGAATATTTTTCTGGTGACCCATTGTGTCATAATTGGTTGCTTTAGGTGATTGTTCATACAAAACAGTTTTATTCCTAGCTTGGAAACGGAAGACATTTTTCTTCTTTCAGTTCTTGATTTAAGTTGAGCTTAGTTGTTACTGAGCTGAAAAAAGTATTCAGATTCTCTGTATGGATGCTATGCTTGTCAAAATCCAATTTCATACACTACATTTAGTGTGTACCTAGTGATTTTGGTCAGTGTTGATGATTTGACTTAAAGATTTTGACAGTGCAGTGTAATGTCACAGTACTGAAAATTAGTAAATTGGAGTACACTAGGTTTTAGGTAGTTAAATTCTATAAGAGCTTTCTCTCCCCCAAAAGGTCTGAATTAGGATTAGGACCTTGTGTTTATCCTGTGTTGCTGTTGAGGAGGCAGACTGG